GGGGCATTCCCCATCCCCTTGCCTTGCCGGGCAGCACGCACATTTATTTAAAAGGGTGCCGGGGGGAGGGGCGGGGTTAGTTGAAGGGCACGGCGCGGAATGAAGCAAGCTTGGGGGGCGGGGGTGGGCGGGAATGGGCCGGGGCAGACCGAAGGAAGTCGATAGACAGATGGAGAGAGGGAGCGAAAGAGGGAGAATCGCCGGGATTTTTTAACGATTTTGTAACCAAACTTCAGCTTTTCATAACATGGGTAGGGTTGGGAGGAGGTGGATGACTTGCTGACCTTCTTCTTAGTCTCTTGTTGGCTTGGAAGGGAGCCCCTGCTGTTTGCCGATTTCGCTGCAGAGGCTGAGTCTTCGTCGACGGGCGGGGAGGACCGTACAGTTGCCATCCCGAGCATCCGTACAGTTCAGATCCCGACCAACCCCATCGACCGCACCGCCCAGATCCCGGCCTTGAGGCCGATGTGCAGTATTTGGGATGCCGCTCCCGGAGTGAGCCGCCGATGCTGTGACGGCAACAAAACGCGTCCCGGCAGACGCAGCTCGGGATCGGGGCAGCCTCGAATTGAGAGAGAGTGGCCGGCTTGCGGGAAACGACACGGGATTGACGAAATGACGTGTCAGCACAGCGTATCGTTCGCCCGTCGGGATCGGGACAGCCGCTGAAGGGCGCGGCTGCTCCCACTGTCGACCGAACGCCCACCCATGGAGTATGATCGAAGGCGATATCGCCTCTAGACATAATCTGTGTGTGTGTGTGTGTGTGTGTGTGTGTGTGTGTGTGTGTGTGTGTGTGTGTGTGTGTGTGAGAGAGAGAGAGAGAGAGAGAGAGAGAGAGAGAGAGAGAGAGAGAGCTTCTGCTGGAGAGAATGAGAAGAGAATACTATCTTTCAATTAAGAACAAAAAGAAAACATATCGGTACTTGGCTGTCTGTCGGCACAATCATTATGGCGTGCACCCACCAGAGAGGGTGTGCTTCTCTCTCTTGCCGTTGTTCTGTGTGATCAGATGTTCTGCATTGGTTTTTGTGTTTCTTACTCGACCATCGATGGTCCACGACGGTTAGAGCTTTCCACCAGATTGGACCATCGACGGTCCAGAACGAGCCGCTCAGAGCGAATGGTTCAGAACGAGTGGTCCAGAATCGCATGGTACAGAACGCATGGTACAGAGCGAATGGTACAGAAGGATCAGAACGAACCGTTTA